GTGATTGGGGTGTCTGGATTTAGAATGGCAAAAAAAACTTGACTGGGAGAGGAAGGGGTAGAAGTGGAAACGTAAGACGGTGGAGGAATAGATATAAGGGAATGAAGAAATATCTTGGGAGGAAGGGGAGGGCCAAAGTGAAGGGCAGCACTGGGGTAGGGAGTAAGAGAAAAACCTCGTCGACGTGCTTCCAGTCTGGCCTCACAGAAATTGAAACCAAGTCTGAATCTGAGAGTAGCCATCTCATTCAAACTTATAAAATAAAATTAGTACATGTGCGTGACTGTGCAGAACCGTTTGGTCGATCAGGAAGAAGTTGGGGATATAGGGCATCGGCCTGTGGATCGGCAGTGCTAGGCAGGGTGTACTAGACGCCAACAATTCTGACATTGACAGGGATTAATTCTCCGCCAATATAAACATGAAGGGCGTCATGTGTATGGAAAGTAATCTTGGCAATATTGGTGGGGGAGTTACAACGGTCTCCAGGGGGGAATGGTGTAGTATTGTGCTGATACTGCATCACAGTTCATGAGAGAGGCGAGTAAGTCTTCTCCACAATCTGACCAATCCTAGTCTTAGACAGAGCAGTTTGTTGGGGAGATAGAGACAGTTCCGGCATAAGTATTGAGGGAGGGATGGGGCTGGGCAGGAATGGATTTGCCCGTGAAGTCAGGGTTGATATTGCTTTAGCTTGATATTCGGATGTAATTGTAAAGTGACAGGAAAGATTGGGGCGGGTGCAGAAGGTAACTTTGCCAACTTGTGTTTTGAGACTTTGCTGGAAAAGGATCACATTTGGCTGGCTTAAACAGAAGATATATAGAGGTGTGGGTAGTAGAAGGACCTGGCCCTGTGGAGGAGTGAGTGAGTGTTGAGTGAAGTAGTACTGCAAAGAGATGTATAATGAGGCTGCAGAGTAATAATAAGGGAGGAGGGGGTAGTAGATGAAATTGAGGATATTGGCATAGGTGGAATGTTTCCTAGAAGTTGAGTAATGACCTAGGTGGATGATTTGGATTGGACTGAGGTGATAGTAGGCGTTGAGAGGAGGAGGGGTTGTAATAGTGGGGTTATTTGGTAAAGGGGCAAGCCTCATTGCCCCTTATCAGGGTACAAAATCTTCATTACTGCCTGGAGTATGTTCAGGGGTAGGAGCTAGATAACTAAACGGGAATATCATGCCAATGGCTCCCCTAGGCCGTTCATGACTGGCACAAAGTCAGTCTTTCATCTTTTTAACACGCCTTTCACACCTTAGGAAGTTGGAAAAAAGAAGGAAAATGAGATGGGGTAAAGAAAAGACAGTGCAAAATTAGCTGAGTCGAGGGATGAGGCCTTAGTCTCGGTCTCCTACCCCCCCCCCCCCTACGGCAACAATGGGCAAAGGACTGGAGGGGGATTTCATGACTACGGAAGCTAATTTTACCAGTGTTGGTATAGGACTTACGCTGACCTCTGGGAGGAATAGTGTAGCACTGTACTGCCACTGCATCATAGTCATAAGCGAACAGGTCGTTTTCACAGTCTGACCAGTCCTTGTCGTAGACAGGACAATCAGTCGGGAAGATGGAAACAGTTTTGGTACAAGTATTAGATGAGGAGTGAGGCTGGAAAGGAATAGGTTTGCCAGTGAGGTCAGTCAGGGTAGATAGTGCGAGCTTGGGACTCAGATGTAACTGTGATAAGGCGTGAACGATCGGAACAACTGCGAAAGGAAACTTTGCCTACTTGTTTATGGCGAGATTGTTGGAAGAGAAGGGTACTGTCTGAGTAAGGGGATGTAGGGAGAATCACTAAGAAGCAATCCCACTTGGCTCGGATAAATAGAGTACCCAAAAGGTTTGCAGAGGCGGAGCAGTAGAAGGACGAGGGTGGGAGGAAGATGGGGTGGTGTGGAATGAGGTAGTACTGTGGGGAGCAGGACAATGGGGATGAAGAGCAGTAATAAGAGGGGGAGGGTTAATAGAAGACTGTGTAGTAGGAGATGGAGTGAAGGAGTTGGGAGAGAGGAAGAGGTGTATTCTGAAGGTTAAGTAATTTAGAATGGATAGAATTGACAGCAAACATTGAGGAAGGGCTATTAGTATCAGTGGTCAAAGGAGAGGCAGGGATCGGGTAACCAGAGGAATCAAATTTAGATAGACTAGTGAAGGGGCTAGCAACCTTTTGAACATTGTGTACCACTTAATAATAAATGCCATTTTTCTACTACCTTGCATGCCAGGTGTTAATTGTATTTTCCTGCATATGTTTTACATAAATACATCTCTCTCTCTCTCTCTCATTATTTTGGTGTTGTTTTTTCAATTGCTCCAGCGAATCATGTGGTGTACCATAACCAAGCACTCTTCGTGCCAAAGGGCCGACACTGGGCTAGTGGATAAAGGGGGAAGCCTTAATGTCCCAAGTAGTGGTTAATGGTTGCAAAGCAAAATATTAGTGCAAGACATAAAAGGTCATATAGAATATAGAAATGCGTAATAGAGAAATGGGCAAAGAAGGGGTTAGTTGATGATTATATGTGCTACACGTCAGAAGTCGTATATCAGTTCATGAAGGTAGGGAAAGGACAATTTGATCCTAGTTGACAAAGGTAGGAATGACAGGAGGGAGAGAAACTAGGGAAGGGTGTTGCTGTGACAAAGGGTCACAGAGATAGTGGGTTAGGAGGGGAGATGATGCGGCTGGAGCAGAGAGGAATGGGATGTGTTGGGAGCGAGTGGGAGGAAAGGGTATAGGGGGAACATGAGTAGGAGGATGATGGATGTCGGCGGTTACTTTAGGTGTAGAAGGAATGGGAGTAGAGAGATTGGAGGATGGTTGAGGTGTAGGCATGATATTTTAATTAGATAGTTCTGAATGTTTCGGGAGTTCCTGCATTGGAGTGGGCTGTGGGGATCTGAGAAACAAAGGTTTTCACATGGGGAGGGGGAGATGTTGAGGGGTGGAAGGAGAGGTTAATGGAGAGGATGGGGTAGAAGATAAGATGGAGCGTTTAGCTTGTCTTGTGCAATGAATTGGGTGAGGAGGAAGAGGGGAAGGTACTGAGGAAGTAAAGTAGTGATTGGAGGGTCTAGAATAATGAAGGAGATTGGGGTGGCAAAAGAATTTGACTAGTAAATGGAGGGAAGTGGGATGAGGAAGAGATACTGGAGGAGATGTAGACACATCTTGAGAGGAAAGGGGAGAGGTTGAGTGATTATTGGAGTAGGAAGTGATAGAAAAAACTAATCCACATGCTTACTGTCTGGCATCACGCAGAGTGAATCTGAGAGTTGCTACGAGTACTTCAGACTAGTAGGTTGGGAGCTCCTAAAAAACATATTATGGGACTCACCACAATTGTCACATATACATGACTGTGCAGAGCAGTTTGATCGATTATGACCAGGTCGGGAACATAGAGGGCATCAGGCTGTGGAATGGCAGTGTTTGGCACGATGGCTTAGATGCCAGCAGTTCTGACACTGATGGGAGGGGGGAGGGAGGTTGATATGGTCCGACAGGGAGGGATTCTCCACCAATGTAAACATTAAAGGGGATGTCATGTCTAGGGGAATGTGTAGCATTGTACTGATACTGCATCGTAGTCCACAAGGCAGGCGAGTAAGTCTTCTCCACAATCAGATCAATCCTTGTCTTAGAGCAGTTTGTTGGGGAGAGGGAGACAGTTCCAGTACAAGTATTGAGGGTGGGATAAGGTTGGGCAGGAATGGGTTTGTCAGTGAAGTCTGTCAGGGATGATAATGCTTTGGCTTGGACTTCAGATGTAACTGAAGAGACAGGAATGAAAGGGGCGGCTGCGGAAGGTAACACTGCGTACTTGTTTTTGGAGTCATTGCTGGAAAAGCAGTGTTGTCAGAGTAAGGAGCTATCCAGGGATCATGAATAATTGGTCCCATATGGCTGGGCTAAATAGAGTATTTAAGATGTTTGTAGATGGGGGAGTAGTAAAAGGATGGGGACATGTGGAAGAGGGAGTAGTGTTATGAGAGGTAGTATTATGGAGAGGTGAACAATAAGGCTGTAAAGTAGTAGTAAGGGAATATGGGGTAGTTGTTGAAGAAAGTTGTGAGAATGGAGATGAAGTAGAGAATGTTGGGAAAGTAGGAATGTCTCCTGGAGGTTGAGTATTGACCTGGGTGGATGATGTGATAGCAGGCATTGAGGAGGGTAGTAGTAGCAATGTTCAGTTATGGTCAAATGAGAACCTAGAGTTGGGGAACCAGGAGAATTTGAATCAGTGGGGCAAACCTTATTGCCCCTAATAATGGTATCAAATCTTCATTACTGGCCATAGTAAGCCTAAAGTATGTTGGGGAGAGAAGCAGTCCATCCCTCAGGGTCCCCTTGCGGTGTAAAGGTAAACAGCTAAACAGGAGAAAACCATGGCTCCCCCAGGTTGTTCATGACTAGCACAAAGTCAGCCTTTCAACAAATCTCTCACATTTTAGTAAATAGATAGAAGAAAGATGGAAATGAAAAGGGAGAGGGAGAAATGGGATTGGAGGAGTCAGTGTCCCTAAAAATCTTCATTATTGGCCATAGTTAGCCTGAAAAATGTGGGGAAGAGAAATCCTCAGGGTCCCCATAAGGAGTAAGAGCTAGGCAATTAGCCATGGGAATACCATGCCCATGGCTCCTGGAGGCCATTCAGAACTGACACCAAGCCAGCCTTTCATCCTTTCAGTAAGAAGTGGACAGAAGATGGTGATGAAAAAGAAAGGAAAAGGAAAGGGGGAGAAGAAAAGACCATGCAAAGTTGGTTGAGGTGAGGGCTGAAGTCCAAGTTATGGGCAATCCCCTACATTGGGCCTCAGTCTGTTTTCCTAAGCTGCCCCACGACAATAACGAGCAAAGGATTGGGGGCTGAAGGTATGGAATATAACTCATAATTAATTATAATTAATCAGAATTTAGTATTGTATTATTAACTCATTCCTTATTAAATTTCCATGTACAGTAGTTGGTATACTGGTATATAAAATAATAGTACATTATGAATTGTAGGTGTTTATTAGTTTTACAGGGTTATATAAAAGTCAGAAATTGAGGATACAGGGTGAAGATTAAAATTTTACTAATAAATCCCTTCATTAAAAACATGGCTTTACACTACACTGAATTCTCCCATATATATTTAAACTGGAAAAATAAAGAAAAAATATTTATATCCTTGTAAAAACATAATTCAATACTTCACCCCATACATAAAGTTACATATTATAATGTTGATTTCAAGTTGATGCAATAGTATATAATTTGAATGACTTGTCTGTAGAGATATATGTTGATGATAATGACAACTAATGCATATTTTAATATTCTAAATGCTTCTGTCATGGACTGTAAAAAGAATAATAATAATAATAATAATAATAAAAATTAAATGAATAAAAATTAAAATAAAATAATTAGTATGAGATAATTTACTATTAGATACACAAATATAATCAAATGTATACAAAGTTGAAAAAACTTTGACATTACTAGGTGTGTCCATTCCCAATGATGTACATTTGACTGCAACTTTCCCCATCTGTTGATTTATTAAAACATGAAAAAGGAAAGCCAAATACACAGCCTATATACACTTTCCTGCATTATCAAAATATTTTTGCAGCAAATTGTACTTCAGTGAGCATCATTGTCTAAAAATTTTAACAAAGGTTGAGAACACATTCAAATTTCTTAATTAAAAAAAAAAAAAAAAGAAATAGTGAGGTAACATTCCAAACAAAGAGAAACTGAAGCTCACAAAAAAACTCCTTAAGTCAAGTCAGTAGTGACTAAAAGTCACTAAAAATAGTATTCATGAATTTCTAAATATTTTTGTTCTTCCAATATTTCATCTGAACTGTCTCTGGTGGCATACAGAAAGAGGAATACTTACATAATTCACATATAAAGAAAAGAAGCATTTTCCTATCATAGATGAATTACTGATAGCAACTGTTAATTTTTTTAGCGGAGACTAAGTAAAGAAAATATCCACATGATATTTTCAAGAACAAAAAAGGAAAGCACCAGTAGGAAAAGCATTAGAAGCACAATGAGAATATCAAGTCTAAAATTTTGCTTATATTGTGTTTTGTGCATGTGTTGGGTGTTTGGGGATGTATTGTGTCTAATCTTTAAAAAAATATATATGTGTGTGTGTGTGTGTGTGTGTGTGTGTGTGTGTGTGTGTGTGTGTGTGTGTGTGTGTGTGTGTGTGTGTGTGTGTGTGGATGTGTGTGTGTGTGTGTGTGTGTGGATGTGTGTGTGTGTGGGTGGATGGGTGGGTGTGTGTGTGGGTGGATGGGTGGGTGTGGATGTGTGGGTGTGTGGATGTGTGTGTGGGTGTGGATGTGTGGGTGTATGGATGTGTGTGTGGGTGTGTGTGCGTGCGTGCGCGTGAGTGTGAATGTGTGTGAGTGTGAATGTGTGTGAGTGTGAATGTGTGAATGTATGTGTGTATGTGTGTGTGTATGTGTGTGTGTGTGTGTGTGTGTGTGTGTGTGTGTGTGTGTGTGTGTGTGTGTGTGTGTGTGTGTGTGTGAATGTGAATGTGAATGTGTGAGTGTGTGAGTGTGTGTGAATGTGAATGTGAATGTGTGAGTGTGTGTGTGTGTGCATTTTCATGTGTACATACATACAAAACATATTAACATATATATAAATATAATATATATATATTTATTATGAATATATATGTATATATATGTATGTATGTATGCGCGCGAGCGCGTGCGCGCGCGCACACACACACACACACACACACACACACACACACACACACACACACACACACACACACACACACACACACACACACACACACACACACACACACACACACACTCTGTCAGCTTAAAAGATCTATACTCTGCCTCATTTAGAATAAACAAACTTCTGAACAATTTAAAATCTATTTCCACATTAGTACTTTAACAATACTACTACAAATACACAAACATGCAAAAAACAACTTATAAGCTTAGGTTCAAGGTAACATTTTTTATAATGAAATCCTCACAATTAACATATTAATATCATTTTTTTAATGAGTATTTCAGACATTTCTTTATATAGTAACATACTTATATATGGTTGACATTGTAAAAGTATAAAAGAAAAATCTGGCATTATATGAACCAGAATGTCAATCAATGTAGATATATCATTAATACTGTTGTTAAGAGAAACAGCTTAGAAAGAAGTACCTACTAAAAATTGTCACTTTTTGATATTTTCAAAGAGAAAAGTAATGATACATGTTGATGACGTTGCGATAATAAGGCTCAATTTTTTTTTGTACTACTTCATAAAAGCCTACATACTGTAAACAGACATCAAGTCCAGTAGTTTGTGCAAAAGAGAGGAGGAGAGGAGGGAGGGAGAGAAGGAGAGGGAAAGAGAGAGGGGAGGGGAGGGTTGAGAGAGATAGAGAGGGGGGGGGGGTTGAGAGGGGGAAGGTGTGTGTGTGTGTGTGTGTGTGTGTGTGTGTGTGTGTGTGTGTGTGTGTGTGTGTGTGTGTGTGTATGTGTGTGTGTGTGAGAGAGAGAGAAAGAGAGAGAGAGAGAGAGAGAATATGCACATGCATGCATGCACGTGTGTGTTTCTTTACATATATATGCGTGTTATATATTGTGTATTGTGTATATATTATATAATACAATCACTGAGTATAAAAGAAAAATAGTACTACCTCCAGCCTATTCTTCTCTTTAATGTCAGTCTGCTTGCAGTATGTTAAAGAAAAGATCCCAAAGATTTTTGTCTGATCCCAAGTGTATATATTGAGTAATCTAACAGCAATAAAATATTCCCCTTATTTTCTATTGCTAAAGCTTTATACAATCACAGAGATTTTTACTGTAAATTTGATATTAGGACTCTCATTAATAAAAGTAATTCATTCTAAATATCAAAAAATCTAATTACTGACAGTCATATTGCTATAAGAGCTAACAGCAAACAGTACACTTGACATGGAGATTACACATCTAATATTCAGTATGCAACACAACACAGATACAAAGAATAATTATAGAGAACAGTTTGGAACACACAGATCATGTTGTCTCTTGCTGCCGTAGAATATCACTGTTGGTAATTAGGGTTATATGCTAACTGCTTCTCTGAGTAGGGAGGTGGCTGGTCTGCTGTTGGGTGAAGTCAAAACAAGACAATTAATATATATTATTTGACATCTCAAAAACATACACATGTGGATATTTATGAAAATAAATAGAATAAACAAAAATAATTCTGTGAAAATTATAGATACACAAAAAATCCAATAATGTCAAGAAATGCTCAGAAAATATACAGTTTACTGAGAGTTTCTACATTCTATTTAAAAATATTTCAAAATTTACTTTACATTTCTATCATAGACATGAGCAAAGTTTTATCTAAAATCTAGTTTCAGGCTTTATCTTATATATCACAATATAACATAAGGTTGTAACACAATAGTGCTCACTACTGATTTTATTAAATAACAAACAACAATCAACAAAACATTGAATCTAAAATGCTTACATTAATGGTTAACCCATTGCCGCTGGGGAAATTGAACAAAAAATGGGGAAAATGCTGTGCCTATTTTCTATATTTTTTTTGTGAAATGTCTGCCCATAGATGGCTCTGTTAGTGCCTGATTTGAAATGGCTGGAAAAACGTATTTTTCACTAGTGCCATGAATATCAATGGTGTTATTTTTATTATAAACATCATAATTTTTATGTTTTCTAACATTAGTAACAACAAAATAAGATAGCGTAAAATATATTCGTAAATCAAAGAAAAGGGCAAACGGGTGAGACAGGCAGTACAAGTACAAGTGTAGCCATCTATGTGCAAAAACAATCCAACAAGTAATCTCACAGTGGGCATGGCATGGCATGCCTGTCGGCAATGGGTTAATGGTTAAAAGCAAAATAAGTGTGCTAGACATCTAAGGTCATGTAGCACTACAGTAAATGTTAGTGAAGGGTGGTTAAGTTAGTGATTAGTTGTCAAAGCTGGGCAAAGGAATTGGTGAGTGAAGTTAACACAGTATCTTCTTTCCCTCAATTTGTGTTACTTAAAATAAACCATGAACAAGGTAATTTAACCAATTGCTCTTTGCAAAAATATGAAATGAGAAGAGAGTGATGAGTGAACTTTTATTACCTATCATTCCTTATATTATTTATTTAGGAAATAACTTATGACTAGCATCACTTGATATCTAAAATTACTTTCACAGAAAAAAGGATTTGACAAGATGTAATAACAATTTGTCATGCATTCTCTATTTTCTAGATAGAGAGATACTCTGCATAAGATGTATATACACTCAATTCTAGAGACTGAAGTGATAATGTAATATATAGTAATGAGAATATTAAATCTACCAATGTCAGATATTCACATGGCCTAATATTTTCATCACTGATCTACATATTTTGTGGTGTAATAAAGCATGCAAAATCATGCAGGCATAAGCAGAGACCAAGAAATAAAGAGTCACCGAATTAAACCCAAAAGTGATGTGTGTGACCAAAAATATAGTAGGAAGACTGATCTGTTATGATGCATAAGCTAAGCTCCAGTTCATTCAACGACCATTTCCTAAAGGAAGTGTGAAGTGTTCTTGCCAATATCCATGTATCTTTATCAAAATTAACCCCTGCAATCCAGATGACGTGACCATCACATGAAAAAATTTGGCTTGAGGACCAGGTCATGTAAAGATGTGGTCAAGGGAAAACTTGGCTGTGGGCCAGGGTGACACAACCTGCGTCATGAGCATTTTGGCTGAAGACTAGGGTGATGGGAAAGACTCACCACGAGTGCACAAACCTCTTGGAAGACGATTTGACTAATTTGGTGTTTAGAAAAAGGGTTTTGTATTATTTCCATCAATAAATAACTGTGGGATGTAATGTTTGTAAGCCATGACTGGAAGAGTACCAGCTTCATGGAGAATGCCATTTTCATACTAAGCATCCTGTTCCTGGCCACTGAGACCAGCAACACAGTTGTATTATAGAAAATGGGGAAAAAAAGGGGGAGAGGGGCAAATAAAATGTTGCTTATTGTTACTATTCTTGCACTGAGTTACAGACTACTTAGAGAGATGGAGTCTTTTCAAGGAAAACAATCTATTAATCCAATGCTGACAGCATGGCATGTATGTACATGCCATGCCCACTGTGAGTTTACTTTATTAATTGTTTTTAGTCATAGATGGCTACACTTGTACTAAGCCACCAATGAGTAAATTACAAGTACTGCCTGTCTCGCCCATTGACCCTTTTCCAAGATTTAGGAAAATATTTTACATTATCTGATTTTGCTCTTACTAATGTTTATAACATTATAGTAATTATAATGTTTATAATAAATATAACACCATTGATATTCATAGTACTAGTAAAAAATATGTTTTCCCA